CCCCCCCACAAATTACTGCCAGGTTTGAAGACATTTTATCACCATAGAACAGATGTAAATTTGCACAAAACTATGACAGCGTTGCTCATTTCCCCCAGGCAATATTCTGCATTCTTTTTTTGTCTGTCATTCTGCGTTTCTGTTACACTGGGGCTGACTCTTCTTTCCAAATAACTGTCCATTCCAATACACAAAGCTTGGCAGAAGTCACTTTTTTTTGGTCACTGTTGCGATCAGCCATCCGAAGGATAGTCAGGGTGGGGGATTGCTAATTTATCCAAAATGTTCCCACTCAATATGATATCTGAGGGAAGTTGGAATAAACTGTGTGTGTGTGCATGTGCCTTTTTTCTAATTGGTTTCAACTTGTAAATTCAGGGTTTATTTCTGCGCTATTGAAGACAAGAGGTCATTAAAATTCTGATGTGTGATCTTCCCTGCACATAGCCTAAGTACAGCAAAGCACACTGTAAAGACAAGTTCATAGGATAACGTACTGTCAAATGCAATATTAGAAGATAAGTTCAAAAGTAAAAATTCTAAGGCATTCACCAAAATTATGGTTGAAGAAGGCTCTTTTCATTGCAGTACTGCTGTGCACTTGCCTGAGATACTTAAAAAGTAACTCTGCTTAAAAGAGAAGCAATGACCTTCAGGTTTATTATGAGCCTTGCTCCAAGGAATGAAATGTAAGGGCAGCTGGCTGGTCACAGCAGTATGACTTTTTGACTTCATTTTTGCTTATAGCCCAAGGCTTGGGTTCCTCTGGGTCCTAGCCCACACACATTTGCATGTTTTATTTATGTTTGCTAGCCCTAAGTACCCATGTCCCCAGGCCAGAGCTGAGAAGAAGTCTATGTGCAGCAGCTAGCTTCAAATCAGCACTTGCCAATTTTTCAGAACTTACTATTTGTGTTGGGTTTCAGTTTTATATCAATGTTATTCTAGGAAACAATTCTGTGCAATACTCAAAGTTTCCTGTATTCAGTTTATTTTTTCTGGAAAATATTGCTTTGGGGAGGCTTTTTGTTTACTGTGGAAGATTGTATTGTCCCTTGAAGGTTGCACCCATCATTCTTACAGGCTTGGGGGGGGGTTGTTTGTTGGGGGTTGTGTTTTTTTTTAAGACTTCTGGCTCAATTACATGAAACGGAGACTGCCTTTGATGAGTTTTGGATTAAGCATCAGCAGAAACTTGAGCAGTGTCTGCGCCTTCGGAATTTTGAACAGAATTTCAGAGAGGTGAGAACTTCTTGATGGTGGTCAATATTTGGTAATATAGAAGTGATGCAGAAGAAAATACTTCTCCCCTTTGTTTTTTCAGGTCTTAAGTGTGCTTGAAAGTTTCTCCAACCTTTTTCTTGTACATGTCCTTACTTGACATGCTGCTATCTTTACTACCTTGAATACTCGCCTATAGAGACATAATAGCTTCTCTTCTACAGTCTTACAATCTTTTTTTCTTCCATGCGCCCAGCAGTGTATAAGGGTTCAAAAACTCCTTTGAAACCTGTTCTCCACCACAGAAGCATAATATGCTGTCTGCAAGGCTTTCATCTTGCAAGTAGGCTTTTTATGGAACCAAGACGTAGCTAAAACCTTCTGGCTGAAACTTCATAAAACAGTCTCCAACACTGTGGGTGGGAAGTTGCAGCCACACTGTTAGAAGCTGGGTGGAGGCTGAACTACAATTTTTACAGCCAGTTTCTGATCTCATATTAGTCTAACTCATGTGCTTGGTGGCACAGTCTCTTTACACTGGTGTAGCTGATATCACAGCACAGTCCCTGTGTCTCTGTGGGAGCAACGCTCAGAAACCCTCTTAAAAGTGTATGTCTGTCTTTCAGCCAACTGTTAGGGTGAGGACCTATCCCTCACGTTTTGCTGTTTATGTTAATGTGTTAATGTTGCTTTGTATTATTGTCATCTGGTGAAAACAAGATCATAAATGTTTCCTGAGCATTAGTTTTCCTGATCTTTTTTTTTTTTTTTAATCAGAAGCAGGAAACAGGATTACTTTACTGCCTTTTCTTTGCATTTGTTTTCATTTTGAATTGGGGGTAAAGGTATGCTGACAAAAAAAGTCATTTGTCTCTGTGCCCAAGTTACCCCGTAATGCGAGTCACCTGACTAGAAATAGTAGCTAGCAGCTATTTAACTGATGGGTCTTCAGAGAGGTGCAATCACCTTCATTGATACATAGCTGTGTCTCATTTCAGGTCAAAGCAGCTTTAGATACTGTGTCTGAGAAACTGTCTGCTTTCATAGATGTGGGAAACAGCTGTTCACATGTGGAGCATATTTTGAAAGATCTTGCCAACTATGAAGAAAAATCATGTGTAAGAACTCTCTAAGTCTCCTTAATTTCTAGTACAATGCATGTGTGGAAGGTAACTGTATTTGATTATTGAGTATAACTTATGAGCAGGAGGGCAGAAGTCATCTCTCAAGTAATGTGTAGAAGGGATTTGGAATGAAGTCTTTAACCACCAGAGCAGCTCAGTTCTTAAAGAGCAGAGTGACCATTCACAAAGTCAGGGTGATCAGTTTGTGAAGGAACTGCATGAAGTGTATGCATAGCCAAGTTCTTCACTTAGTCATCAAGGGACCACTTCCAATCCAATTAAAGCCACTTATTTAATTAAATCTCAGAAATGAGAAAGCTGTGTATTGAATAACAATGTGTTAAAAGACGAAACACACTCTGAACAATGTAGAAAAGGCACCTTATTGTGATTTGTGCTTCACAATAAAATATATAGCTCTGTAAGTGAGGTTGTTGCTCTTGAGGATGAAGTGCTGCAGTTAGGTATTTTTTAATTTGGGTTCAGATTGCTACTGTACTTCCAAACTGTATACTTACGCACACAAACATGTTGCCAAATACATAAGGCATAGAAAGACAATAGTGGTTCCTTCACAGGGCGGCATATGATTAAATTCATTGATGTTTCTGAAGTACTCTGATACAATAAAGAAGGTGGCACAGAAGTTCTTGGGCATCTGGAAAGAAAGGAAATCACTTTGATTTATTAAGCAAGGCAGCTGTTAACTTAAGATGTATTCTTTATCAACATGTGTATTTACTGTGTAAATTTTTTTTACTGATGTTGATCTAAGAAAAGATGTACCTAAATCATGCTTGCTTTCTTAGGAAACTGTAGCAAAAGCCAGAATGCTAGCCTCAGAGGGTGATGCTTTTATTCAAAGCAATCATTATGCCGTGGACTCCATTATTCCAAAGTGCAGTGAACTTCATCAACTCTGTGATGCCTTCACTACTGAGATAGAACGGAGGAGAAATCTTCTTAACAAATCTCTAGAACTGCATAGCTTACTAGAAAAGGTAAACTTTGTATGGAACAGTTCTGTTTCCCATCTTGTTTGCTAAAACCTCAGCCAACCAGCTGCCAAAATGGCAGGTAAAAGTATTTGTGTGTGCTGGAATTTTCTTCTTAAATAACTGAGTACATTGCAAGTAGAGATATGAAATGTTTTAGGCCTCTTAGTGTTTGATGTTGACATCAGTGTATTCTGAACCTGTTCTTTTTTGTGTTTCTAGTCTATGAAGTGGTGTGATGAAGGAATTTACCTGCTGGCTTCGCAGCCAGTAGATAAGTGTCAGTCTCAGGATGGTGCAGAATCAGCATTACAAGAGATTGAGAAATTCCTGGACACTGGTGCAAGCAATAAAATCAAGGAGTTGAATAAAATTTACAGAGAGTATGCACACATCCTCAATGAAGACCTAAAGGTACCAGAAGATGTTTATGTGTATCTACGCAGCCATTTGTTAATCTTAGAATCTCTTTCTTCCATGGCCATTGATAAAGCTAAATAATCAGTATTAGGAATTATAGCTGGGAATTGGAAAGCCAACACATTTCCCTACCTGAGGTGCAGGTCCTGTCATATCTTTGGATATGCATCAAGGGCTTCAGAGCCTTTTAATAACTACTTCAATTTCTCAGGTAGTAGGATTGCTTTTAAAAGAAATTCTCCTAAGTGAATATTTGAAATATCTTTTTTTTATGTAGCAAAAAGGTGCCTGTCAGTAATATTTGTATGACTTCCACTTTGTAGCTGCCTTTATTTTAGAACCTGAGAATGTGTCGCTTGTCCTCTTGGTTCATCTCTTCATGTAACCGAATCGTTAGACATTGTCAAAAAAACTTTTCTTTTTTTTTTCTTTTTAAACTGAAACCTGAAACCCATTGGTTTCTCTACAGCAAGCGCACAGAATGTTTTATGAAGTGATGTCCCAATTTTTAAGTGTACTAAATGACTGAAAATTATGCCTTGTTAGGAGTGAAGAGTAAGGTAATATTTTTATATGCGGAATAAAAGCAATCGTAGTTGCAAATCTGTGTGCTCTAAATGGCAGTGTAGCTTATTGATGGGCCTCTGATAAGGGATTTATTATTTTTATTTCTGTGGCAATGTTAGGAGCATGTGCAAAAGGTTTTCCAGAAGCAAGAAAGTATGGAAGAAATGTTTCAAAAGAGACAAGTAAGTCTTAAGAAACTGGCAGCGAAGCAGACACGTCCTGTTCAGCCAGTTGCACCAAGACCTGAAGCCTTTGTAAAATCTCCTTGTACCTCTCCAGGTAAGTAACTGTAGTAGCCTTTAATTTTTTGTGCTTTGCTGAGAAACTTAAAGAAACTTGCAGCTGTAATTTGTGGTTGCACAAACATCTGTGTCAGATCTGCTCAAGTTCTAACTGCTATATGATTCTGGTTTACATGCTTAGGTCTTCAAAGAGAGTACGTATCCAACTCAGAAAGCAGTGCACTTCGGAGGGTAAACTACAGAAGAGGAAAGGTAATTGTTTTTCTTTGCACTTTTCGTGCTTGAGAATGTCCTAATACAACAGAATATTCAGGATCTTCAAGAAGAATGAAGCAATTCCACTGAAAAAGTGATGGTATTGCCCCTATCGAAGTAACTCTGGTGAAGCAGTCATGTGGATTAAATAGAGGCTGCTTTGTCGCTGGGTTGGATGCGAGGGAAGGTAAAGTGAATAGTTGCCTATATTAGGAAAAATGTTAGGGGCAGCAAAATATAAAATCTATGAACAGGAAACATTTCTTATTTGCCAGTAGTCACTGGCTACTCTTAAAACTGGCAAAAGTGAAGAGGTAGTTGTCATTGGCTCCAAGACAGCTTCACCTGACCTAGTGGGTTGCCATTCCCAAGTGGGGATGGTCTTCCTGTCCCGCCTCCAGTGAGGAAAGTAACCTGACAGCAGCACAGGACCAAGTAGTTTCCCACTGGGTTAGAGAGTCGAATCAACTCAGCAAAAGTTCAGCAACAGGCAACACGAGGAGGATGGCAGGACCACATGACCAGTAGGGACAACAGCTGGAGGACAGTGTTAGTTCAAGGGGGATTGAAAGCAGAACCTCTCACTTTTTCAGCAAGATGTAATTGGGTCAGCCGTTACAGTAGAAGTTATAAGAATGAACTTCTGTGACAAAGTATGAAGTTACCATAAAGTTAGCAGAGTACCTCAGTTTTAGCTTGGAAAACAGACTAAGGCCAGTGTTGCCCCTAGAATTATGCTGATGCTCTGATCTTGTCTTCCTGGAAAGGAGCATCGAACCATGGGCTTTTCTAAGCTGGCTTTTCATGGAGAACTAACTTTCTGTGTCTAAATGTTCTCGTGTGCTTCAAGAGCTCCAGGTTGACTTGGGTTTTTTTGCACTGTTCTTGCAGACTGCCTTCATTTTTAATGGAGTACAGTCTTTCCTGTGAAAACACATGCAAGTATAGCTGAGTGCAAAGCTCTGTATTTTAAAGTGGTTTTTCCCCACCTGTGATGCCATGATAGTTTTTTTGTTGTTCGTTTGTTTCCGCCTTTAGAGTGAAATGACTGAACTCCATCAAAGCAGAGGAGGATCTACAATGGATGATGAAGAAAACCTAGCCGTGTTACGGCAGTAAGTATATTTTGATAGAAGAAAAATGCTTTTTCTCTGATTTGGTTCCAGCAAAGGCTGATTTTGGCTAAGGATTTGATAAGACAAGTATGCTTCTCTGAATTAAGCCTCAGTGCTTTTTGAAATACTTTGGCTATGCTGTGTACACAGACGAAGATATTTCAGTCTGTCTGCGGCATTGTTTATAGTTTATATAGTACCCAGACTGTAGCTTTGCTGCAGCAGGGTGGTGCTATGGCAGGATAACTACGTATTTTCATTTCAGAGTACGTAGTTTTGAGTAATAGCCCCCGTAAATCTGTCAGAGGTTCTGGTCTCCATGCTGCAGAAGACTTTGTCTTTTTATTTGACTTTTTAGTCCCTGTTTTGAAAATTGTGCAAAAAAATCATTTTCTTGCATAAAAAAAACTAAGCAGCATGACTTATATTAAAAAAATAAACCAACTTAGTACCACCTGCAATGTGTGTAGTAGAGCTTCCCTTTCTACTAGTAAACTGGGTACTTCTACTGTCTTTCCAGCATTACAAGAACATGTTAAATCATACAAAATCACAACGGGAGGAGGTTGGGAGCAGCATGCTTGCTTAACCATTAGGGAAATTAAAGGAGCGTTGGGATATTAAAAGTGTGCCCTAAATGCCTTTAATTTAAAATGGTTGGTATAACTCTACGTCTGTATTTGATAATTCTGGGCAGCTCTAAATCCAGCTCTTGTAATGCTTGCGAACACAGCATAAGCAGGTTTTCTGTATACAATGATAAAATGCTTCACTGCTTCAGCTCAGTTCCTACAGCACTTAAAATGCTAGATTTGACTTTTTTTCCTGTTTAAACACATTTTCAGGGATTTGAAAATGTTTTAAAAAGTATTTGCTTACCAATAAGGGTATGTAAACTGCTGACAGAAATATCCATGAAACTTTACATTTTCCGTTACCTGGAAATTGTTCTTTTATTGCCTGAGGTGAAGTAGAAACACAGACAAAGTTAATGTTGTCTCATAATTTTGCATAAGTGAATAGGCCTGCCTTAATTGCCATGCTTTGTCTACAGGCATGTAATGAATGAACTTATTGAGACTGAACGAGCATATGTGGAAGAACTTCTCTGTGTTCTTGAGGTAAAAATTAGATTCCACTGTGGCTGTTAGTAAATCTATTTATTTCTTCCATTTCATGGATGCTCTGATGCTTTCCTTATCACTATAATGTGTCTGCTTGTCCCGTCAAGCCGTGTGATCATTACATCTCTCCTCTCGCATCATATTTTCACAGAGGAATGTGGAATTCTTTTTCTAGAAGTATTCATGCAACCAGGGTTTTGTATTAGAAAACACAAATTGGGCAGAAAATAAGATACACCTAACTATTTAGGTGGAACATAGTGGGATTTGTAATGATCATTAACTCCTGCAAAAGTTAATTCCAGAGTCCTGGCTCAGCTCCCGGAAGGTCACATGTAGCACAGGAATATGTATCTGCATCAAGAGAACCTTGTGTCAGAGGAGAAAACTTGTTTATCACATCCCTCTCTGCATATGTTTAAGTGACCTTCCAAATGTCTTGGGTACAACAGTGGGAACAGAGTTCCTTGTAATAATAATACCTTCGTTCAAAACTGTAAAGGGAACAAAGGTGGATATTCTCTTTGCCCTGTACTTGTGAAGGCACAATTGCAGTACTGCTGAGTTGGTTGTGGAAATATGCTGCAGTATTCTGTGTTGTTCCTCAAGTCAAGTCTCCAGACATGCATGTGTCATTCTGTTGTAGTCTGATTTGTCTGTAGGAGTTGATGAAGTTGCAGATAACTGAGGTTGATGAATTGGAATTGAGCCAAGCAGGTACTTTTGGTGTCCAAGCTGATAGGAGCTGTTTTAAGTTATGGACTGTAAGTGATGATTTCTGGGAGTATACCTCCAAGTAAAAGGAGTGTATGAGGGTTTTGAACTCTGGTCTTGCTTCTGCATGGTTTATGCTCAGCTTCCCATAGCATTTATGTCGTGGGTCCAGTCCAAATGTTGATATTGATGTGTTGATAACAGTAGGATCATTCTATCTGCGAAGCAGTAATAAAGAAAGGTAGGTTTGGAGTAGACCTTAAGCACCACTTTATTCTCTGCTTTTGAACACAATGCTATCTGTAGTTCTGTTCATAAAATAAAGACTCAAATAGTTCAAGGATTTTTGGTCCTTCTGCTGCTGGAGGGTTGTTGCAGAATCTTTCTACTACTCTTGTTTTGCAAAGAGTGTAGTGCAACCCTTGTCTTGCTAGGCCAAGCTGTCCTGGTTTTCTGCCAGTGTGATAGACTCTCCAATGCCCTGACCATGCCAGGCACGCTTCTTTGTGCCTCCTTGCAGTTTAGGTTTCATCTCTCTTGAACTTGGATGTTTGGGACTGCCAACTAATTCTAGATGAGATCCTTGCTGAAGTATGGGTCAATGGCAGTCTTCCAGCTTTTGAGTAATTCTAGTTATTAATCTGTAGCTCTGCCTATTTCCCAAATTACTTTGTTTCTCCTATTTTATTAATCTTCCCATTTATCTGTAAAATAACCTGGTACTCTTTTTATATGGGAAGTGTCTCATTATTAGTTTGTATTTAATTGCCATGCATTTTCTCTCTGCCAAAGCTTCCAGTAGAAAAATACAAGGTAGTTCCACAGATTGATCATTGGCTGGGTTTAAACCACAGCATTCCAAAACTGCTATAGCTGCTTTTATCTGAGCTTGATGGTTTTCCTTTCATTAATTAACCATGGTCATCTGCCTTTAGTCTGTGAAATCCAGTAATTTTTACTGGGGAAAAATATTGGTTTAGTCTATTTTTACTTATTATACTTGATTCTTTTTTCCATTTATTTCAATGCTTTTAGAACAGCTTTCAGATGGAAGACTTAAGCAAAGCCTTATATATTATTAAGGGAAGATTAAATGATCCCTGTGACTGCATAGAGTAGCTTTCCATCTCCTTTCTTAAAACACAAGTACTGCACAGGTGGTAAAACATGAAGAGTTTTTGTATTAAATTTTTTAAATAACCACGTCAGTCTGAAGTGAAAAAAAAGATCAAAAGCTTTTTGTAAATGTGTGGATTTCATGCTCTTATTTTTCAGCATTCTAAAGTACTGAGCTCTGTCAGGTTAAAAAAAAAAATAAAATCTAATTGCTGTCCTGTCCTCATGCTTGAATTGTCCAGGCTAGGCTAGTTCTGCTAGTTTTTGTAGCTTGGACATCACTTTGAAATTGAGAATTAGTTGCAGCTGCACTTTTGCTTATCCTTTCATTTGAATTGTCAGTGTGTTATAATTCAGTGCAGTTTATTATATCAGTGTCACTAACGCAATGGTCTGTTACCTGCAAATAACTACAGACAGCTTGTCCAATCATATGAATAGCTAAGACTGACATGAAGATTTGCGTTCGTACTGGGATTGTATCTTTAAATGCAGATGTGTAAAGTTTTAACAGAAAAAGTACAAACTGTAATTTATAAGCAGTATGGAAATGCATAGTCTGTGCTTGGTGGAAAGGATTGCAAACTTTGTTTCATCTTAACTAAATTTGCAGTAACTATTCAGGTGCCTTACTAAAGACGATAGGTGTGTCTTACTGGACTGATGGAAAACCAGAATTTGTATCCTTTTTTCATGATTAATACTAAGCTCTTTCTTTGCTATTTGTCAGCCTGCAGGCAGTCTGCCTTGTCAATGAGATGAATACTGTAAATAGAGGGAGCCAATCAGTGTGCCTCTCTCCTGTGTTGCAGGGTTATGCTGCAGAGATGGACAACCCCTTAATGGCTCATCTCATATCACCAGAACTCCAGAATAAGAAGGACATCTTGTTTGGGAATATGGAAGAAATTTATCACTTTCACAACAGGTGAGGATTTGCAGTCAGATCTAAAAATAGCATTTGGATGAGATTTTCTTACTCTTTCAATCTGAATTAAATTGCTTAAAGATCTCTACTGAGTCACACTTGGCTATCTGGCATGTCAAAATTCATGTTGCATAGAAGAGGAAAAGCAAAATCTCTAACAGGTGAGCAAAGCTGTCTGAAACTTCATTCAAATGATTGCAGTACACATGTAAAATTATTGCATTGTGTTCCTCTTCCTGAAGAAAGGGGATCTGGTTAAAAGCTAATTAAAGCAAGGTTGGTTTGGTTGGGGTTTATTGGGGTTTGGGTTTTTTAATGAAATTTGCTATGGAAAGTAAATTATGATTCTAAACCACAAGTTCTCAGGTCTTACATCTAGTCAAGACTGGTTAATTTTACACTTGAGGGACCTCTCTGTGAAGTTTGAATCCTTGCTTCTACAGAGGTATTTCTCCACAGGATAATATTTAAATTGGTAGAAAAGAGAAGTATTTTCAAGAGAAGTTAAGCATGTTAAATAGTTTCTTATTCCAGTAAAACTACACTGGAAGTTTTGCTGCTGACTTTTATGTTTTTTATTTGGATTTTTTTTGTTGTTGTCTGAGGAGGTGGGATTTGGGTCATTTATTTGCTTCGTGATGTGTAGTAGTATTTGGAAGGAAAACCCAAACTTTTACTTTAAACTGTACAAATCCTTTTGCTGAAACAAAATCCCCCTTCCTTCCCCAATCTTGTATTTGATTTCAATTGTAGCAACACTAAGTTAAAAGGAATTAGTCAGAATATTTTAATACACTATCCCTTTTTAAGCACATGACCTAGAAGAGTTTTGTTTAGTTTTGTAATACAGAATTACAGCTCTGTTTCCAAAAGTTTAGAAGAATTGCAAGATGTAAACATTTACTACAACTTTTTTAACGTATGCTCTGTGCTCCTCATAGAATATTCTTGAGAGAACTAGAAAACTATGTAGAATACCCAGAACTAGTAGGACAGTGCTTTCTGGATCAGGTATGTGTCATCTTTTGCTGGCATTTCATTCATAAACCCCCCTGTAAGGCTATAACATTTGACAGTGATCTTCATGTAATTGCTACCACATCCCCTTTGTTTGTCTTGAACAGGTAACAAGTTGGGAATGTAGATGTTAATTGAGAGTGGGGATATTTTCTGCTGTGTGGGGTGAAACAAAACCACTTTATTAAAGTAGCAGTTAGGAAAACATGAGGAGTCATGCACTGCATTGTTTCGTATCAGTATAAATGGTTGGTTTAGTTGGGTAGATTTCTTTAACTGGGTATTTTTCTTGTTGTTCTTTTCTGTTTTCTTTAAAGAGTACACCTAACAGAGTTAAGTCCAAAATATTTTTATTCTGAAAAGACAAAGCTATGCCAAAATAAAACCTTTTTTGTTCTGGGATTTATTAAACAATGAGTCTCACCCGTAGTACACAGAAGGCTAAATAGGAATCCGCTTATGGAAATCAGTCTCCTGTTGTTGCTGCCTATTGATGCTCTAAAACTCTTGGGAGAAGCCATGTTCTCCCTCCTATTTACTGGCTACATCCATGGAGATGCTGTTGCCTAAAACTGAGGGACAGACGTACTTCTGTGCTTGGTGATTTCCTATCTAGTCTTTCTTTTTTAGTTACTATGATTGTTTCAACAGTTTTATTTAATTTTGCTTTCAACGAGTGCTGAAGTGATAAGGGGCAACAAACTGTTTGGTTTACCTTAGTGCAATTCCCAGGCCAAAACACATTCATAAAGAGAAAATGGATAAAGAAAAAGGGCAAAGACTTAAATAAGTTGCACAGCGGGACTCATGGTTGGGCATTCATAGAAGTATTTTGCATATTGTAAAACAGTCAGCTGAAGCAAAGATTAATAGGAGCATTTTATTCTGACCTTCCAAGTACAAAATTATTAGCCGTTACAAAATCAGTGATTTTCAATAATTGTTTATTGCTTGGGATACCTCAAGGAATCGCTTTTAGTTATTGTTCTTTCATAGCCTTATAAATTATTAAAAAAAAATCTTATGACCTTTGTATATTAAAGTTACAAGAATTTATTAATTTTTTGCTTGTATCCCAAATTTCAGATGGAAGATTTCCAGATTTATGAAAAATACTGTCAAAATAAACCTCGATCTGAAAGTTTGTGGAGGCAGTTTTCAGATTCTGTGTTCTTTCAGGTAAGCTTGCTTGAGTGTCTAAAATAACTGTGGTGGTGGTTTTGTTGTGGTTTCTTTTGTTTGTTTTATTTAATCATCTCAAGAACAAATAACAAAATATTGATAAATAGTAATTTTAAAATATTGATAAAAATATTGATTAGTGTCCTGATGGAATCCAACACTGATTACAGGAATGTCAAAGGAAACTTGATCACAAGCTCAGTTTGGACTCATACTTGCTGAAACCTGTTCAAAGAATAACCAAATACCAATTATTGCTAAAGGTACGTGTTACTAAAGTATAATGTGAAGTACATTCTGTGCATTTGGTTTTCTAAATACTGCTTTTCTCAGCCTGCTGGAGAGAAACCTAAAAGCTAATGGACAGGTGTATAAATCAAAACAGAGATAAATCCCAGTCTATCAGCTTTCAGCTCAGTTCTTCTCTCATGCAGCTGAAAAGCTGCTACTAGACAGACAAATGTTACACACGGACACCTCGTGTAACTGCTTTTGCCCTTATATTTCTGCTGAAGAGAAGAATGAAAACATTATTAGGAGAAACAGAAGGACCAAGAAACCTTTGCAACAAAGAAAACATAATATCTGAAGTACTGTTATGACAGTTACAGTCACCGGTTATAGTCACCTCATCCATATGGCAGGAATTTGCCTTGCTGGGTTTTATGTAATGCATTCTAGGAAATGTACTTGACTGAGAGCACTGTATGGTATTTTTACAAAGGATGTTGTTGTGATTTACTTAAACATGCTAACATTTGAGAGAGGAAATGAGAGCAAAATTTATACGATCATAAATTTTTAAATTCATGTAAAAGGTTTTGCCATGTTTGAAGTAAGAAATATTTTCCACATAGACACACATTTCAATAATTGTGTTTAATAGTAGTTTAAAAAATTGCCTTGGACCAAATTTACTCTTGAGTTAAAACCGAGCTGAAGCTAAGAGCTTTTTAAAATTAATTATGTTAAGCTTTTGCAAAGAGAGGAGTATTAGAAAGGTTTTTGATTTAAAGTATCTTTACTGGCTGCAGTCCACAAGCAAATGCTTATTCTCATACTATGAAGTCTGGGAACTTCCACATGAACTTGCAGCTATGTTTATGTGGATCCAATTGGAAGATACAGCTTCGCCAATAAGCTCTTTGGAGAAGGAGTGCCTTTTAAAATGTGCAGTAAGCTTAAGGCTATTACTTAGCATCCCTGGCATCAACATAATTGAAATAGTAAATGAAATTTGCCTCTGTTTTTACATTTGTTCACTTCTAAAAAGTTGCAGATATAAAATATAATTTTATTTGGTTTGAGTTTGGGATTTTTGGTTTTGGTTTTTTGTTCATTTGTTTTCAATTGTGATGAAAAGCATGGTTGCGACGTTAGTCATGTACAATTCTTAGGCAGAGTTTACAAAACTCCAGATGAACAAAATATATTTGACTAATGAGCAACAGAGATGAGAAGTAAAACTTCAGGGTCTTCTGAGTTCCAGCCAGTATTTAAACAGCTAGATCATATGGTATAAAACTTTAAAAACTTTGCCCAAATTTAGTGTTAAAATGCGAATGTTTCTTGTTACTGCTGTTTCCAAAACTAAGTAAGTATGTTGTCATTCACTGCCCACTCAGGAAATGCTGAAGTACAGCAAGAACTGTGAAGGTGCTGAAGATCTTCAGGAGGCATTAACTTCTATACTGGGTATTCTCAAAGCAGTTAATGATTCTATGCACCAGATAGCCATTACCGGCTACGATGTGAGTAACAGTATTTTTACTTACTTTTGGAACTAGATGATCTTAAGGTCCTTTCCAACCCTAACTATTCTATGATTCTATATATGCACAACATATCCTATATGCATACTAAAAATGAGTAATGAGAAGAATGTTTTACGAAAAGTGCCTTTAAACTGAATTGTGTAGTGAAAATAATGGAAAATGGATCTCTCGATGTTGTTATGAAGTTTTCCTGCTATGAATAATATTTTGCTTCATCTATTCAAGTTCTGGGTTTGGTTTCTTTTTTCCTTTGATGTACTTGACACTGAGATAGAGACTTATGAAGAGTCTGGTTTAGGCTACTGCCAAATGGAGTTATTACTAAGTTTTTATATCTATGTGTAAAACTACACTCAAAACTTCCAGTAAAAGGGGAAAAAAAAAAATCGCAATAAGCAGCTTTAAAGTAGAGTTTGGGGTGAAAAAACCCCAAACAACCTAATACACATAGTGTGCTTCCCCCTGTCTCTATGTGTAGATCTCTCTCTCTCCTGCTGGTACTATTGACTGTAAAATCCTGCCCAAACAGTGTTGGGGAGAAAAAAATTACGTGTAAAAATCCAACACTGACTTTATTTCTGTTTCCAAACCCAACGTAAACACTGATGTGTAAGATTATGTGGAATGACGGAACTTGTAAAGACCTGTTCAGAATATGCTTTTTAGCCTGATGTTGTCTCTTTGTTGTTATAAATATCACTTCTTTTTTCTTCCAGGGTAACCTGAATGAGCTAGGCAAGCTTTTAATGCAGGGATCCTTCAACGTCTGGACTGATCATAAAAAGGGTCACTCGAAGGTGAAAGATTTGGCACGCTTCAAGCCAATGCAGCGACACCTTTTCCTCCACGAGAAAGCTGTGCTGTTCTGTAAAAAGCGAGAAGAAAATGGAGAAGGATATGAGAAAGCACCTTCTTATAGCTACAAACACTCCTTAAATGTAAGACACCTAGCAGTCCAGCAAGGTGGAGGTACTGTGGGCTTAGCCTGCAGTAGCACAATATTTAGGTTTTTGTCTGCAAAGCTGTGTTACAGTTCTGCACTGGGAACTTCCCCCTTTCAGGCAAACCTAAGTGTTGCTGCAGGTTTGTGTTACTTTGTGTTGCCGTCTGTTAGAGAGATAGGAGAGCCCTTTGAGACTCAGGATCCAAACTGTACTAGTCTAGCTGAATGTAGAGCAGGGTAGTATAAAATAGATTTGAGATTTTGTGGTCTGGATTTTAAAAGCGATGTCTTTGTGGGTCAGTCTCAATTTAAATTTTTCTTCCTCCAATGTAGCCAAGCTGGCACAAAGCACTAAATCTCATATGTCCAACATGCAGATCATGTGTTATTAGCTATTCTTTTCCTAGATCAAGAAGCCAAATGTGGCTTTCCTTTTCAGAAATGGGGTACCAGATAATATCAGTAGCCACCTGCTTCCATTGTTACTATAACTGCAGTGTGACAGGGCACCTTCTGTTCTCTTTGCTTCCAGATGGCAGCAGTTGGAATAACAGAAAATGTCAAAGGTGATGCAAAAAAATTTGAAATCTGGTATAATGCAAGGGAAGAAGTTTACATTATACAGGTAAATAAGTAACTACATCTAAAAAAAAAAAAGGTGGGGGAAGTCTATTTGTAAGATCTGGATTTTTTTTTTCCTCTGTTATATCACTAATGGATAGTGATGAGGAAATGTAGAAAATCCCAAACCACCACCGGATTCATCCGTAAGGTAGTTTTGTAATAGATTTCAGTTGCAGAGTCTTCAAGGCCAGGTTGGACAGAGCCTTGGGTGACATGGTTTAGTGCGAGGTGTCTCTGCCCATGGCAGCAGGGTTGGAACTAGATGATCTTAAGGTCCTTTCCATCCCTAACTATTCTATGATTCTATGAATAATGGTGTTTTACTATATCCATGAAGAATATTGTATACACTATTACTATTGCTCTTACTGGAGTAGTGGATGGCTTGGGAACCAGTGTTTGACTGTAGCATGTGCACAGCCTCTGCCTCAGCAAATTCCAGTTCTAACAACTAGTTTCTGTTGAGTAAGGACTAGAGAGGCAGCTGTGTGTGTCTTCTCTCTTGCATGATTCCTCCAAGGCCGTGCTTTGGAATGCAACTCTGTGTAATAAGTCTTCTATGCTTGATGGCTGGTTGTATTTATTTTCGGGTAGGCACCAACACCTGAAGTTAAAGCTACTTGGGTAAATGAAATAAGAAAAGTGCTGACGAGTCAACTGCAGGCATGCAGAGGTAAAACATTTTGGATATATATATTTTTTTAATTTCTTTTCTCTTTGACCTTCAAAACCTGCCCTGTATATCTTCACTGTGTAGGACTGTAGAAATGAAAAGCTTAAAACACAAACCAGTTTTAATAGTTCTTTTACTTTCTTCCATTACAGAAGCTAGTCAGCACAGGACACTAGAACAAACACAAAGTTTACCTCTACCAGCATCATCTTGTACAAGGTCAGCAAGTATGTTGTCAAATTTGCCTGGCTGTCATGTAAATACACTAATACACCTACTTGGCAGTTCTTCATTACTCCTGTCCCTTAATACTGCCCCCTTTATGGTTTGGGATTTTGTTGGTTTTTTTCCAGGGGGGTAGGAGTGGGGGAGAGAGTGGGTTTCTTCCTACTATAAAGCTGTAAACTTTGGAGTTTATACATCTCCAGAACTGTTAAACTGAGGAGCAGCGGCACAGACTTTGCCAGTTGATAGAGAGCACAGGAAGGTAATTTTCTGTGCCAGCCAAAATCCTGGTGGTATTATGGCTCTGTCTGTTGAAAAACTAATTATATACTTTACATCCCAGATAAGAGAGTTAAGTGGAGCAGCCATTCCCTTCTTTCTTTATTCTTTTCCGTCACCTGGGTTGTATTTTATTTCCTTTCCCAGTGTCATGCTATCTTACTTTTTGGGTTTTGTTTGTTTGGTTGTTGCTTGTTTTGTGGGTTCCTTTCCCCCACCCCCCCACCCCCCACCCCGGGCATTATCTTTTCTCTCTTCTTTGTTCTGTTCCTTCAGTTTTCTTTATTGAAAGTGATGTGTTGGTTCCTTCAGTGTCCCAACTTCTTTCACTGAAGAGTCAAGCTTTTCTTCTTTTCCTGTTTTTAATCCTTCACCCTATATAGTCTTCTGCTTTTACGTTCTATTCATCCCCTCTCTGACACCTTTTTTTAATCCTCTGCTACTCACTCTTTTCTTAGTAAGTGTATGTGTATACCCATAGGCCCATGTGCTCATATTTTCAGTCATTCCCACGTGGTGTGTGCTCAAAAAAGTATCAGTTGCTCTCTCCCCTGCATGTTTTATGCATCTACTTATCACTCGGGAAGAATTTTTGGTTTGTTTCTTTTTCTTTCTTTTTTTTTTTTAATGTTTTTTTTTTTTTTTTATTTCCCTTAGTACCTTCAGGAGGAACCTCTCAGCACAGAATGTGTGCCTGTAGCTGAGAATGAGTGGAAGTTGTCCTGAGCTGTCTTTTCAGTAGCTCCCACTGCCATAATACATGAGGCTGCAGTTGGTTAGGGGAGCCTTTCTCCTTTGTATGTGCTCATGGTCTTTAAATGCACAATCACCAATGACTTTTTCAGTCTTGGAAGCTATGGTCTGGGAAATAGTTAATAAATGGGTTTCAGCCTGTGTATCTATGTATGTAAAAGGCAGACCATGACCAAAGGTCATTACCCCTGTTCAGACCCAAATTTGCTGAAAATGGATTGATGGTCTTAATTTTCTTCCGATAAACAGTCCTTCACGGAACCACATCAGAAACACCAAAAAAATGGAGGAGAGAAAAGCTGATCTTGCAAGTCTAGAAAGTTTTGGCACCACAGTAGCACCAAAGTACCCCGAGAAAGGCAAAGGTGAGTTTACATGTATGTATTTTGTTGCCTTTAATTGCAAAGAGCATGCCTGCACTGCAGATGCACAGGCAGATCCACCAGCAGAGTAGACATGATAGTGCAGGGAAGTGCTTCATTACACCTGAATGAGTAGGGCTTTGCTGCTTTTAGCCTTAAGGCAGCCCACCCACAAAGTGCTACCCACACGGCAGCCACATGCCAGTCCCATGTGCCCATAGCCTGGGGTTTCTGTGTTCCACTGGGTGGTGTGTACAGGCCCAAAGCCACTTTGAATGAAGGGTAGCCAAAAGGAGGTGGGACCTATATGTTATGAGGCGGGTCTTCTCTTAGATCTGCCCAAGCTTCTCAGGGTTCTCTTCCTCGGGATAAATTTCTTGGAATTACCTGTTCTGAAAAGTTTTGGTGGTGTTTTTCTTTATTTTTTTCTTCAGTTTTGGTTCCCATCATGAAATTATTTACTGAACCAGTGGCAGTACAAGCCCCTGCACATTGAGAACAACTGGCCACTCAGATTCTTCTGTTGTGCCTGGACTTTCAGTTGCCCTTTCTCATCCTACCATGCAGATTCCCTGTCAGGGCTGCAAATGATTTTTTGCCTTGATCTTTTCATGGCCTTCTCCCCTTTCTTTCTGTGTCTCTCTCTTCCTTTGTAGATGACACTAATTCTACCTCAGAATGCTCTGTACTGTCAAAAAAGCGCTTTACGCTGCAGGGCTTTACTAACCTCAAAAGTCAGAAAGGTAATTTTAAAATAAAAATTAAAAAAGAGGCTAGACTGTTAGACTGTATTCTGTTTAAGGCTGTATTTGAAGCATCACTTTCTGTGTGTGTGTGTAGTGTGACAGATACTCAGTGTATGCACTAGGTTGTTCTCCAGAGTTCAAGCTAGGCTCCTGGGTCACCAAGCCTGGCAAGGAGATATCAAGAAAAAAACAGCTCCAGAGTGGGAGGGGGAGATGCAGCTGGGAAAAGTGGAGCTGTTGGATTTGCAAGAGAAGGAGTGCAGTTTCCAATGCCTCTAGTCTCACTATCAAGTCCAAGGAAGGAATTTATAGTGTCTCATTTCTGTTGGTAAACTAGAGGAAGTTAGTTGTCTTCAGATCAGACACCTGCTTCAGTGGATCTGCCCCAAATGCACTTGTACTTGGCAAAAAGGAATCAAGATTTTCTAGACTATTTCTCTATTAGCATCTTTGCTAACAGACCTCCCAAAGCATGGCTACAGTGGAATGTGTATGACAACATTGTTTTGCTGGATACAAAATTAAATAATAATTTTCCTATGCTTCCAGAAATGGTCTTTACTTCTTTTTTTTTCTAAATTGGGCAATGGGAGTTTGAGACCGTTCTTGCTTCCTCATGCCAAGTACTCACACTGATACATTCACTTCTTGCTTTAAACAGCTGTCTTTGAACAGTATGAATTGCATTAAGATGATGGCACTTGTTCAGGAGCATGATGTGTTTTTTTTTCCCCCAAGCATCTTTTCCAAATGCCTTTCTAAAACCTCATTACCTTTGAGTTCTTTCTGGAGAGACTCTAGGGTTGTGTATCTGATGCTGGTGAGGTGAGCTCTAATATCCCATGCTTGCCTTGACAGAAACTCCATCTCCTTCTGCTAAAAGCCAGACATTGCCAATGATCCTTCTTACAGGACCAGGTATTGCTGTAGTATTAGATTTATATAAAAATGATTGCTTAACTTGGTAATGTTTGCCTCAAATTGAAATTAATTGTATTCAGTTGATGTCTAGTTCATTTAGAAAAGACTACATAAACTTTCTATTACTATAAAATAAATTTGTCAATTTAATCTCCAAATAAATAATATCTCCAGTATCTCCAAATACAAGTAAATAATTAATTCCTTCTACTGTAATTGACCAATGACAGCTAAAATTAGGGAGATTACAGAAATCCGCTTGTTTTCCAGTGTAAACTCAAAGGTATTTAGCATGCAATCCACCTATTCTCTTTTTTCCAGTTCTTCAATATCTCTCTTCTGTGTTTTTTGCCTATTCATCCTCCTGCAGCTTCTCCTACCAGTCCTGACAAAAAAGCTAAACGGCATGAAGTAGTGAGTGACCCAACTCCTTTTGGTTTAAGAGGTATAGTGATACCACATCTTGTACTCCACAAATATCCACACATCCCTCATGTAATATGTTACATCAGAGTACTGGGGATACCTGTATGATGCTGTTTTGTGCAGCAGTGTTGATATCAGCTGAGTTTTTCCAAGTGCATCTGTCAGCTTTTATATATATTGGTTTTGATAGCACAACTGGTTGAAGTTTTACCTTGGCATAAGATGAAGTAGCATATGGCTAAGTAGTTTTTAGGAGACAGCAGTGGGAAAGGGATCTTCCACTGAAGAAATAACCAGAATCTGGGTGTTTAATGGAATTACAGGGGTGTCCAGTTGCTACGAGATACATGGTTTTCCAATTAGCATCCTCCTGTCACTGTGCCCCTTGTGGAGAGGATTTAACATTTTAAAAAGAAAAAAATAAATCCAAACCTGATGTACTGTAATCAGAGTGAGGATCATCACTGTCACGTGGAATTTCCACTTTAGATCGGCATTTATTACTGTAGTCACGGTCCTGTTGCATCTTTCTTTGGGTGACAGTAGGCAATTTTTACCACCCTGTAAACCCAAGATGATTCAACCAAACCCCTTGTAGCAGTTTGCCTCCTGTCCTCCCAACCTACAGCCAAGCAAAGAACAGAAAAGCGTTTCAGTTAAATGACCCATTTCTAACCAGCAAGGCTGTTGGCGAAGGCTTGAGTACAAATCCCTGGGGCTGATTAACTGGAGAGTACAAGGAGAGCAGTCCCCCTCTTCCCGATTCTTTTTCCACCACCATCTCTTTTAGAAAGTATTATTCTAAAGATTAAGCTCTTTCAAGCCCTACCACTGTCCTCCTCTCCAGGTTTCCACAGCCTTTGTCTTTCTCTCAGCTGTGGAAACGATGCAGGTCCAGCTGCTGTGCTGAGGAAACTATGCCACACCATTCACCTCATCTGAGCAGCAGGCAGTGTAATGCCAGGCTGGATGCATGCAGAAACTCCACAAGTATAGATACGAGAGTTACAAGGTTAACTTCCTGCAGGTAGCAGTTAAACCTCTGAGATCTCCAGGCCCCACAGAAATCCTGAGGGCCTGAAAATGCTGTCAGAAATCAAAGGGTGTCTTGTGGCCTGTTGCACAGATGCTGGAATTTTTCAGGGTGGAGAATCCTTGATCATTGGTAATTTACAGTAAAATTGTTGGGTCCTTGGAACAGGCTTGTCTGATTTGCTGTCCTGTCCAGCAGCCCCTCACTTTATGAAACCACTAAACCTCATAAATGAATGTAAAACATCTAGTAACTCCCCTTTCTGCCTTGCACCGTCCAGTCTCTTTTCTGACACTTCATCTCTTCCTCCCCAACTCAGAGGGATGAACAGGCAGCTGACCTGTTCATCATTTTAGGATGAAACTGTACAAGGTGATGGTCACAGCTCCCTGGTGCAGAGTGCATTGCCCCCACTTGTTTCCTTTCACTGCCATATTGCTCAGACTTACATCGCAGTGAGCTCAAGGAAAATGAATTAGTGACAGAATCACATCTTGCAGATCGATCCTATCTCTGTGAAGAAAGCTGTGGGCCCATTTCTGAAGAGAGGTGGCTAATGAATTCTTGGATTTCCTGCCACCTTCAAATCTAAACTAATTTCTGCATAACCTGGTCTTTTCTCAAGACTGCCTGACATTTTCTTACCTTTCCTGCCTTTATAGGGAGCTCTGATTTAGTCACACCGCGCAGAATATATATGTGCACATTGAATGTGCATGCATAATTTTGGTGTCTGTAGTTAGCTAATATGAATATGACCACAGTAACCACTTCCCTGCCCAGGATGAGATGGGTTTTTATGCAGACTTGTTAATAGTAGAGTGCCAGCTTATATAAGGAGTAGGAGTATTGTTGCTATGGGCAGGATCAGGCAGGTGTGCTCTTACCCGCATCAACAAAATGTATGAGAAGAAAGAGGCTGAGGAATAAGAACCGTTATCCAAAATGTTCCAGATGAGCAGGCCAGTGAGTATGATGCTGTAGGCAGAGCAATTACAGTGATTTCACTTTTTTTTTGTGATGCTTGTTGGTTCTGTTTCTAATGAGAAGTTGGAACAATTAGGCAAAACCAAAGGTTTTTCAGTTGCATTGTTCTTAACTTGGAAATAATGGAAATAGTTTCAGCTGTGTCCCACAAATCAACTAGATGATGTGAGCTTCCAAGGAAATTTTCATGGAATACAGCTGGAATTTATTACTCAGTTTCTTCACAGACAGAAGTTCATTGTTAACACTGGACAAGGCCAACTGGGTCAATACTTGTGGCCTTGTGCAGGTCATCCAGCAGCACAGGCGAGGTAAAAGTCCCACTCCATTTGGTGTGCTCTGGGTGTGATTTGTTTCTATGATTCTTAGATTGCTTTGGCTGTACTGTGGTGATGCTCAGGTTTTTTCCTAATGTACTGGCATGACCAGCCATGTGACAAATGCCTCAGAAGCAGTGAAGAGCGAAAATGCTGGTGCTTTCTTAAGTAATAGTTACATAAAAGTTGGGAGGCTTGTTTTTCCTTTCATTCTTTTCATTGAGTTTCATTGTTACTACCGTTTGGCTTGAACCAAAATCTTACAGATACTTGTCTGGTTTATTACAACATTTTTTTCTTTATAAGCTCAACACATTTATTACTAGCTGCTGACCTCAGTGAAAACCGTCTTACTAGTAAAACTTACTGTAGCTGTATTTGGAAAAGAGAATTTGTGCACTCTCTATATGATTCAGCTTCATTACATAAATGAAATACCCTGAGACAGAAAAAGGAACACTTGGCCATAAATGGCAGGCAGGAGACTGTTCTTGTGATGTTGGGTGGCTTAGGACCAAGATAAGTCAGTGTGATTAAGTATCCTTGTGTCAGCATGAATGCCCTTAAATAATACGCTTCCTTGTCAGGTGAAGTACAGAGTGCCTGTAGCTTGTGTTGAATTTCTTGACAGCTCTAAGTGCTCAACAGTTTAAAAGACACGATGCACGTCCATCTGTTGTTCCAGCAGGCTGATTAGGTTGCTTTGGGTGGTAACCCTGTGGGTTCATCCTCTTCTCCATACAGTGTACATACCTGTCTTCTACCTCCTCCCAAGAAAAAGAGTACCTATTCATCATTCATCATTGTATAAGAGAGAAATAGCTGCTTTTTAGTTGGGAATTTGCATTCTTTCCATCTGTTTCCCTCTATGTAAATCCAAAGGGCCATATTCACTGCTGTGCGTTGCCACAACTCCACCTATTCTGATGGAAACGGGCCAAATTTTGCCAGCTGTAAATTTCACCCAGTGGCTGTAATAACTTCTCTGTGTTTGGTTTTCCTCCTGTTTGTGTTGATCACTGAATTGCTTCTCAGTGGAAAGAACGCTTCTCCCAGTCAGTGGCTCACTGCTGCAGAGTTAATGGTTGGCTGTTTGTTCCCCAAGGTTGGGCTAAACCATCTCACTCTCTTGATGCATCTGAAGAAAATGATGGCTGGTCTAGTGCTGAAGATCCGCTGAATTCATCAGATGCGGAGGAAGAAGGAGGAGGAGGAGGAGGCGAGATGAAGCTGGTAACCAGAAACGCTTTCCTGTTGAGCTAAGCCAATGATACCGATACCTTGCATATGGCTTTTGCTTTTTGAAGCTTGCAAGAAGGAGAGTGTCTGGCTTGAAATCCTCAGCTACACAAAATTGTCTTAAATCAGCCTTGTGTTTGTACCTTGGGGAGTATCCATCTGTGCCTTTGTGAACCTGAAGAGTAGTGAAACAATGACTGCTTATGCCATAGTACAGCAGTTAAGCAATGACATGCTCAGCTACCATGTTAACAGACTTTGACACATACATCATGTTGCTATAGTTTTCCAGCTTGGTTTTGGGGTTTTGTTATTATTTTGAATTTTTTCTGTAGACATTTGATTAATTATTGTAATGGAAACATTTCACTGAATCTTTTGCACGGGGTGAGAATTCATGTACTGAATTTGCATGTAATTGAACAGCAAAGTTTTACTGTCTCTCTATATTTGCACTGTCTTCAGCAAGTTTGTGCATAAGAAAGAAGGGAAGAGTACTCCAATAACAAAAGCTGCAAGGTACCTTGAAATACTCAACAGAAATAATTTATGTTTTTCTTCTGTGTTCATTTAGTTTTCTTTTGTGTTCATTTAGACTCCTGGTAAATACACAGTTGTGACTGATCATGAGAAAGGAGTTTCTGAAGAATTTACAGCGAAAAGTGGAGATCTAGTTCAACTGATTCGTGAAGGGGAGGATGGACTCTGGTATGCAGATCTGTGTTTGGAAATTTGTATAAGCAGAACTGTGTTTGGAAGGCAGATGTTCAGGGCGAAACTTTCAAAGGCATCAAATGATGAAGCAATCTGACTTCTTATACTTTTTTTAGGTATGTGAAGAACCTGAGCACTGGTAAAGAAGGTTGGATCCCAGCAAACAACCTGCTGACGCTCATAGGCAATTCCAAATCAGCTCAATCTTTAAGCAGCTCTGGTAGGCTATTTATTTTAAATGAGATGATCGTCTCTAGACGATTCCTATTATCAAAGGAAGTTGTGAAGAACAACAACCATATCGTATTTTCTTGTGGGTTTTTTTTCTCTTTCCTTTCCTAGAATCAGGCACTGCCTCCAGCACATTGAGCACATCATCAAGTTGCAGTGATAGCTGCAATGCCAGCAGCACCAGCTTCTCGGACATTAAGGGCTAACATTAAATTTTCACCCCACCTCAATGGAAGGTAATTCTGGAATTTGTCATTTTGTGCCGAGTTCTGGACACAAAGGAGAACCACCAGTTCTATGTCACCTCCCTGAGTATTTTCAGTGGTGATGTTCACAGGTTCTCCCAGAAGATCCCAATGAAAAGTGCATGGAATGTGAAGTTGTAAATAAAAGTTAAAAGATTTGGGAAAAGGTCTTTAAGAGGCTTCTGCTCTACAGTCTGAAGCTGCAGAGTTGGTAGCATAAAACATGTTTTCTCACTGATACACAATCAGGTTTCTGCAGAACTGTATCATTTTGTAACAGCCAGAATCTGAGTGTGAGCAAACAAAATGTGCTCAGTGCTAAATCCTCAGTGTAAACTAATAACATAGCAATCACTGTACAGGATAGTATGAGGAAAATAAATCAGAGTTTACAATTTCTCCTCCCAAAAACCCCCTTTCTCCAAGGATGTACCTCAATCAGTGCAGTGAATGGGACTCTTGCAGCAACTGGGAAGGAGGTTTACTCCAGCCTTTTCTCTTCTCTTGCATCTTCAGGACATTCTTCTGCTCCCTAGAGACTGGGATCAGACATGACCAATTCACTGACCACAACAGCATCAAAAAAAACTATTGTTTTGTCCTTTCCAACTTTTTAATGACGTGTGCAATGGAATAGCTGTTTTCTGAGGTATTTTGGCCTCACAACCAAATTCTTTACCACGATCACTGTGTTTACATAGCCTTGGCAACTTAGTAGTATACTTTTTTTTCTTAAAGAGGTGCACAATGAAACACAAATTCTTACTCATTAAATTATTTCTTAATAAATGGTAATTACACAGTTACCTTCAGCTTTCACAATTAACATGCAATTACAGGCAGAGGAAACTATTGGGCTGCACTATGGGTCAAGAGCCTTCCTTGAGACAAACCTATGAGGGCCAGAAATTGGGTGTATTTTTAGTCAATAATGTTTGTTGCAGTTATTCAAAGAGAAAAAAAACAGTGACACGATTTTTCCATAAAAGGGGAGCATGGGAGAAAAAAAAACGTTATTAGGTAAGAGCCAGGTTTATGGTACAAGTATTTTAATTTTTTTAAAAGGAAGGGTGATGCTAAACTTGCCATTTTTTCAAGGTATGATGTAAGCCAGTGCTGTAAATTTTCATATTGTCAGGTGTTCTTTGCATGTCATCCTTACCAACAGTTCAAAACTGTGTGCATGTATGGAATATTGTATTCATTCCTGTCCATCTCTCAAATATTTTTACTTATATGAAAACAGGTTTTTTAGTCATTCACATACCATATTACTTAAAAATAATGTGGACATTGAAAGCATAGTTCTTCAGCAGCACTAAGCACAGCAGATTATGTCTCAGTCCTCTGATGGCTGAGCAGTGAAGTCTATCTTTGTGCTAGAGTTTTATATTTTAGAGACTGCAGCTTAGGAAACTTGAACAACAAATACTCTAAAGAATGATCTTACTCCTAGGTTGCAAAAGCAACCCTACCCCAGATGCAATCAAAATGCAGCTGACCATGGTCAGTACAAATTGAAACGTATATATACACACACATATATATTTATGTGCATGTATGTGCTTGTGTGTATATATATGTGTGTGTAGATATGTATATGTGTGTAGATATAATGTATCAATGTAAAAGATGTATTTATAGTCTTCATGCTGCTGAATGTGTCACTTCACAATTCATAAAGACTTAGGTTTCTTGTAATCCTGCAATATAAAGGCTGATCAGGGTTTTACTTCGGGCATCTTTTCCAACTCAAAAATCCTCTGATCTTTTTATAATTATCCCATATAATACTGTGCTGACCAGGAATATTAGTCTGATATTTAACAATGGAATGGCAACATGAGATTAGCTTATCTTCATCTATGTAAGTTATTTTGTAAATTATCTGTAACATAATTTACTTATATATTGCTGTCATTGCTATTATGAGACTGTCCTTTCATTTCTTACTGCAGCCTCATTTGTGTGATTTCAATGGTTTTTCTCCACATCATTGCACTTTAATACAACCCATTTCACCATTTCCTTTTTTACTGCTGTTGTGAATTAGAAGTTCAAAGTCAGAGGTCTCTATTGTAATTAAATTTAATAAATTTCAGCACTTCTTGCTGAATGCCTTTATATAGACATGCTCTGTGTTTTATTTTGTCTCACAGTCTTAAATGCTTCTTACGGGTATCATAGAAAAACAGGCTGAAGGATTTGGAGCAGAAACCCAAGTCTGTCTTGCTGTGCTTGTCAGGGTCTGTGTGTTCAGATCCTTTGCCTGCTCATTCTGGGACCATCTCAGAAAAATACCATCTTACCCTTGTGACCCAGTCTCACCTAACTGGCACCAGGGAATTAAAGCATGTGTGGAGGCTGAGGATAAAAACTGAAAGCCAGTGTCAGGTAGTGGGATTGATTATCATTCTCTCACACACACGTTTTTGAAAGGTGGCATGTCGCTGCTGGGTTTTTCTGAAGAAAGCCATGTATCCCGTGGCTCCCCTCCTTTATACGTGCTCCTCTTGATCTTGTGGTCTTCAAAGAACATGTTGGAGGTCCATGTCTGGCTGCAGATGAGTGAGAGACGAGAAACCATCTTTACCCTTCACATCTGAAGAGGAACATCTTTGTGCATTCCCTGATTAACAGCTGTAAGGACCACCACGCCATGGCAAAAGATGAATTTTACACTCACTGGAGTGATCTGGGCTGAGTTAGTGGCCATATGCAATTACATGATCTAGCTGTTACTGAGATTTGATTGCTTTTATTTACTCTTGTTAACATAACAAGAGTTATGTTAAGAGCTACCTCTTTAGTAGGTAGTCCTATTTTTCTGAGCAAGAGGAGGTCTGGCCTTTCTGAGCAGAGCCACATCATACTTAGAGCAAAAGAATGAAAGATTCCAGCCGAGATTTACCCGAGTGGAAAGTAAAGAATTTTTTATATAAGGACCTAATAATGATTCATTCCTTTTTAATTGTAAGGTTTGTTTATTTCCCATTGCAAACACTATGGACTTGGGTTTCTTGTATTCTAGATCACTGGTTCAAAGTGGGAGCACAGCCTTTCGTAGATACAGAAGCTTTTCACTTGTTGGAATGCAAAACTCTCTTCCATTCTGCACAAATGTTGTCATTAAGCAAAACTGAGGACTTTTTGGGCCATAATTTGGGCCACATTTTCACCACGTGCGTCAAAATGACAGGGATTCCCATTCCCTGTCCGTATCATATGTCAGATGGCTATTTTGAGCTGCACTGTGAAGGAGCCGCTCGTTGTGCCAGCAAGGCACGCAGGGATGGATGGGTGGCAGGGCTCTGGCTTGCTGGCAGGGCACTTTGGGGTGAGGGCACCATGTCAGCCCAAGGTCAAAAGGCAAAGAGTGGAGAGTGCAGAGCAGGTGGGTTATTTTTTTGAGTGGAGCAGATGAGGCTGGTGGCTGCAGTGGGGTGAGGAGCATGGAGCATGTTTCAGCATGAAGAAACAGTGCGTGTTGTATGCTGAGGTATGAGCTGCATGGAGCTTCTGCCAGTCCAGCAGCAAACGCCCCCTGCTACCCTTCTGCCTTGAAAGTGCTGCATCCTTGGTCCTGCCAGCTCCAGGGAGTGAGTCAGTTTCCCACCCACCTTTCCCCTGGCAATCTTTGGCCGGATCAGCTCCCACAGCGGGTGCAGCATTCCCCTCCCTGAGCAGTAGCACCCATGCTCACTCCTGTGGCCACAGCCGCTGCAATGTCCCCCACAGGGGCAGCCTCCAAATGCAGCAGGGCAGAGGCAAGGGATGGCCAGGGCGGTGGGGCACTAGCAGGCTCTGCTGGAGTGGGAATAAGGCCAATACAACTGTTCTGGTGTCCTTCAGCTGCTCATGTGCTGTTGTACCTGGTTAGCTCAAAATATTGCCATGTGCTAATAAACACGCACACCCTCCATGACAGTGTGCTCCAGCTGTTTTGCTTAGTCTGAATTGGGGTCACAATGAAGCATCCTCACCCAAAGCTCAAGCCTTCTCTTGAGAAATCTAGGGACAGCATTATGTCTAGACAAAGCCTCAAGAAAATAAAAGCAGCGTGATGTACACAAAAAGCAAGACAAAGTTTCCCTATCCAACCTAGCGGTGTAGCAAGAAGATGATTCTTCAGCCCTCAGCAAGGAGAAGCTGAGTCACAGCCAGGGCAAAGGCAAACCGTGAAGAGCTCAGACAGCTCCTCCATGGCTCTGACCCTGCAGAGACAGGCCAAAATCACCCACAACATTAAGTTCCTATAGCAGTAAGGCAAGAAGAGATGATGTACTCAAGTATGCTCGCTGGTCATCTTTGCAACTTACCCAAGTACTGCTGCAGCCACCACCACCTGTACCAGTAGTGGCCTAAAGATGGTGGTAGCAAATCAAGGATTAAGTAAGTTTTGCATTTTCATTCTGAAAAAGTTTTTACTCTGATGAGCCCATTTGGTGCTGAAATATTATCTTTGACAAAACCGTTGACGTGAATTGATTAATCACCTTTCAGGTTTTTGTGTAGTCATTCCACATCAACTGGCAAGACAGTCGCCAGCTGCATTTAAAAAGCTATGAACTTACTAGTGGTGTGGTTGCAGTTGTGATGGTCTCAGGACAGTTAGAAGAAGGTCTGTAGCAGAGTAATATCTCTCATGACCAACTGAAATATGTGGCCTTAAACAGTCAACTTTGGACCACACAGTCTTTATTGTAGATTTACTTTGTACTGACTTTTCTATGTCTTTTGCTTCCTTTATTATCTAGGTATCTTCAGATATCCTTCTCAGGCAGCAAAAGAAAGAACCCACATCAAGATTAAAAATCAAAATGTTAAGCATTTGTATTCAGAGCTGGACACAAAAAAATTCTATCAAAAGTATTATCTCCCCATCTCCTGCTTCTTTATGAGAATAATTAATGTATGAGGATACAGAACTCAGTCAAGCAGGCAAGTAATTTTCTCCTGGAAATAGATACTTCTCCTTTGAGGTCTAAAACCCAAATAATTTGCTTTAAAGCTTAGCAGCATGATACTCATATATTTATAGATTAGTACATCAGAGAAAGAAAATTATTAACTTGATCACAGCTTTGGCTTGCTTGTAATTAGTCTGAGAAATGAGTGATGGCAAGTTACTATTGTTATTGGAGATTTAAATTGAATTTTCCATAAATTCTGGAGGCAGCTTGTTCCTAAACCTTTCTTCCCTAGACACAACCTTGTCAGCTCACTCAGATGATTTCTTGTGGCCTCTTTGAAATAGAAATCACTCATGTTTAAATGACTGGTGACCTGTTGGATCAGATCAAGCTGCACATTTCCCAATAGCTTCTGTACCTGTCTTCTCTTCAAGCCAAAATACAAAACTAAAAATATATAAATCCTAAGAGTTTTTCTTTGAAAAATGTCAGTAGGAAACAAAACAAAAATACGGAATGGTGTGTTCTAAGGCATCAATTCATCGTGTCTTCCAGGCTCATGTTTCTGGTTTAGATTTTTTTATTCCACATGGTTTACATTTTTCATGTTTAATTTTTTTAACATGTTGTGGGGTTTTGCTTGTTTTATTTTAATAAAGCAACTTGGACGCATCCAAAGCATACACTAAAATATCCTACATTGTATTTTCTGAGCAGCTGTCCCCAGGCTGATTCTAGTAGCACCCATAAGCAGCAGGAATGCATGTTTATGTTAATATATATTTACATTTAATTGAACAGCAGATTATTTTCCTTGGAATTGGTTAGAAAACATAAGCCAAAACTGAAGCCTGCACTGGCAAGGAGCTTTAATGGAGCCGAACACCACGGCAATTCTCATGAACTATATCAAGACCACACAAGAAGACAAACGAAGTAAGACTTGGGGATCTTCTGGGGAAGAAAAGCTAACAAACTGATGTTGGCTTCTCTGGCTGGGGTCTAATACAGTAAGGAAGGGGAGCTCTTCATTCAAAACACAGCTCTTAAACCAAGTAACTGACCCAGCTGAAGTTAGTAGGAAACAGTTTTGAGATGAGATCTGTGAATATGAAGTTCATGAGTCAAGAGCTGTAATGAAGCTCTGGTACTGCTGAATCCCCAGTGATGTTCCTCATGGGCATGGTCATCCCTGTCACCCTTGATGAAACCTAAATGCTCTAATTTTTCTTGGGAATAGGACTATCCCCATATGAACTGACTGTTGTTCCCAGCACTTGGGCTTCTCCCTGGGCTCTAAAAATAATAACCGAGTGTTTGGCTGTATTCCCAAGCAATAAAAGCAAAATCTTTCATCTTTAAGGGGTGCCAGCAGAGGAAGGCAGACAGAAGGAAAATACTGCACCAGTCCTAAAGGATGTATCGAACCTGCACACTACAAAAGAGGACAAGAAAGCAAAGGGGTGCCATGGTGCAGAGGTGCTGTGATGCCACTGTGGAGTGGCAGTCACCCCCCCTCCCTGGCAGGGATGTAGCCACTCAACACAGTGGGGTCAGATCTGCCCCAAGATGAGACAAAGAGAAATGTTCAAGCAGCTCCAACAAATTTAGCTTTGCTTTTGCTAAGCTGAACATGCCCTTGCTATTTGCAACAGGACCTGCCACCCATCCCCAGCCATCCCAGGAACTGGGCTGCTGGGAATTAGCCAGGCTGCAATCCAGAGAAGTGCCCGGATGTACCCTCTTGTGAAAGCAATTTCCAAGCAGGACATCCAGCTGTGCACACGGCCACTAAACAGCATGCAAAGAACACCCAGCGCCTGGCTTCCCTAAGCAAGCAATCGTGGCTTCTTCAGGGAGTTACGCTGAGCACTGGCAGCAAAGTAAAACTCCAGCTGTTGCTTTTCTTTGCTGTAGCACTCACAGAGCTGACCCTCCTCTCTTTCCACACAGGAAGGGGAGAACAGCCTAGAACACACTTTAGCCCTCAGGCACTTCTCATAGGCAAACATGCTCTTTACCTCACTGCTATCTTAAGTAAATATTTCCCCAAGAATGCTATCAGCTCTCTAGTCTGATGCCATTAATTGATTTCCATTAAATCAGAAGCCTGCTTGTGTTCCAGGTAAAACTTTGCCTGCAGATCAGCCCCTCAAACCCCCATCCTTACTAATGAAATATAACATTGATCAGATCAGCACCTCTTCCAGCTGGTACAACTTGTGCAGGCCACATGGGTCTTGCAGTAAAGATGGAGAGAAGCAGTGTAGGGCGTCTCTTGCTAGTTAATTAGTGTCTCCAAGTAAATTCAGCTAGAAGTGCAGAGTTGTAACTGGTGACAGAGAAATGGGAAAAGACAGATGAAGCACTGAAGGACCGTATCTTGACCGCCAATTCAAGATAAGTATCACGTCTCTGCATGCGAGGCTACGTGGCCAAGTTAATGCCAATCATACAGACACAGGGTCCCAGCATTTAGGTTTTTCATGAACAAAGCATGTTAGATGGAAACTGAAGGCCTGGAATAGCAGCCTGTGTACTCAGCAAAGCTTTTGCACAGGTCAGGAGAGCGTGCTTCAAAACCAAGCTGCCTGCTAGCGTGGAAAGGGCACTCTGCATGTGCCCTTCTGCTCAGCTTGCCGGGCTGTGATGGATCTTTTTCTGTTTCCATGACTCGCCGGCCCCTCCTCTGGCTCCGAGCATTTGAAGCTGAGCTCTTTGGCCAAACAGCCCTTGCTGAAATGTCAATACGCAACCGGGACGCTGGGTTCATCATGGTTTCCAGGCAGTGCGTGGCTTTGTTTCTCTGCTTTCTGCTACTGATTCCTCTTTCTCTGGATGCAGGTATGTCGTAGGATATGGCTGTAATTATGTTTACTGGCAATGGACCTCTCTCCTATTACTCAGACATAATTTTCATTGCAAGTTTTGAGCACTGTTGCACCTTCATCCTGCCTCTGGTTGTGCCTGTGAGTTATTCTAAGGCTCTTGTTTGCTTTCAGCGATGGCATCCATGCGCTTGTTTTGCTAACTAAGGAAAAGCACCTCTGGATGGCTAAATGGATCTATTATCTCACTGCACAGACAGCAGGCAAACCACTAGCTGTCTGCCCACTACATGAAACTTGGATTTATTGTTATTTCATATTGACCTGTGGCTTTTCCAAAGCAAAGAATCAATAGTCTGTCATTTAGCTGATGAGAAATTAAAGAAGTAGCAGTAAAAGGCAGTGAGGTGGTAGCTCTTCAGTGGTTCCAGTATATGTCTGAAAATCAGCTCCCAAACTAGCGAAGCTGACCCAGTGCTTTCAGATTCCCACTTAGCCACTGACAGGGTCTCCTGCATTGCAGTGAACAAAGCTGGAAAACTACATAGCAAAGTCAAAAGCATTCCAATGTAAAAAAGTGGAAACACCAAAATAAAAAAGGAAGGATGTTCCCAGCCATGCACCCAGGCACAGTCCTCTGTCATGTATCTGCAGCGTAAGGTTAATTAAAAGCCTTCAAAGACAGCCACATTAAATGCATACAGCCTGACTTTGAAATCGTGGCAGAAAAACCCAGCTAACATTTCTACCAGGAGCAAATGTTTATGAAGCACCCTGGGATAAATTCAGTGTACCCCATGCAATATTTTATTCTTTAAATAACTTTGAAATATAGGGGAAATTACTACTATTTTACATGTAATTCAACAAGTGTTCTGATTAGACACCTCACCAGACTGGAATAAAGCTTCTCAGTTTGTATGTCAGTGAGTCTTATCTGTCAGCAACCACCTCAGGGCTCTCCTAGCACATAGAAAGTAACTCCACTCTATGAGGAGTCATGTAGTGGAGAATGTCCTGGGGGAAAGGCGGGTGATACACATCAGCCTCCATCCCCAAATCTACTCACAATCCCAGGTGAAATAATTAAAAGCGCTGAAATGTAAGTGGTTGTCACAAAGCTCCAGAATCTCCTACTGATATGGAGAAGGGGAAAAAACCCACAAAATTAATTGTTTTGAGACTCGTTCTGTGTAGTAAATGGAGCAAAAGTATACACCACAGCACTGGGACTTCTTGTTCCTTAACCTGAGTTACACCAGGAGGGCGCAGTTGCGTGATGTGCGTGCATCCTGAAGCTGAGGAGCGGGTCAGCATGGTGACAATGGTCTCAGCTTTCAGTGCACTTTTCTGGCACTTTCAAGTTGATGTAGCACTAGGAAGCAAGCTCTGATGATGTCTGCTAGCAAACCTGTGTACCCCATGTGCTTCCAAAGCATGGCAGGGAGAAGACCCCTCTGGGTATGGTCTATGGTGCTAACAGCAGCTAGGAGCCATCCACAGACTCCACTAGGAACACAAACAGCATTGTCCAGCCTTACTATGTACCTTAACATGGCCTTTTTTTACAGAGGAAAACTAAAGATAAATGTATTAAGGCACTGGATTTAGAACTGTGGTCTGCTAGTGGTTGGGTGAATCTTTTCTGCAGGTCCAAAGAGTGAAGGGGTGTGAGATAATGTGACTGTGGGTGAAGTGATGAGTGTGGTCCACGTGTCACCAAGTGACATCCTCTAGTAAGCACAGAAAATATCAGGTGTCTCCATGTGCATCAGTGCTTGATACAGCAACACAGGTTTTTCAGCTGCTAGAATGGAAAGAAACTGCTGTGCATGTTAAGACCTCTATATGACATGCAATAGTAGCTTAGGAGTCCCTGATGTACAGCACTGGTGTAACATGCAATCTCTTCCTAAGCTCTGGACTCTGCAAAATACTTGTGCTGCCACTTCACCTGGCAGGCAAGTCGGAGAATTCTTTCACAATTACCCATTCCTTTCCAAAGCGTCTCAGAAAAAGCTTGGGAAGAGAATAGCTTTCAGGGGAAAGTGTGTCCCCTATCCCCCCTGCCAGGAGAGCACAGCTGAGTAACAAACAACATGCTGCTGTTTTTCAGTCTTTCTAAAGCGGGAAGAGGCAAACAGCATTTTGCAAAGACAAAGACGAGCCAACAGCTTCTTTGAAGAGATAAAACTGGGGTCACTAGAGCGAGAATGCATGGAAGAAAAATGTTCTTTTGAGGAAGCAAGAGAGATTTACCACGATGATGAAAGAACAGTAAGTAACACTGGGCTGTGTGAGCACTGTCAGCTGGACTCCCCTTACTCAAGAGTGTGCTTTGACACTTAAAACATGAGAGTAAAAAGTGCACTTTGTGTCCTGCTGTCTCCATCTTTCTTTTATAGGGGGACACATGCAGCAGCAGTGAGTTGCAGGAAGGCACACAGCATGGGCTGCCCCAGGCAGTACCGATTTGCGGGGTTGGGGGGGAAGTGGATGCTCTTGAAGTCATCTCCCAGACCCCTATAATTCCTGACTGGATAATACTTTAGATTATTGTACTGAGCAACACCTGTTTCAGTCAATCCCACCTCAACCATATGGAGGTTATCGACGGATAACTTGTTTGAGTGTGTTACGCAGTGCCCTTCTTTATTGGTGTATGAAAACAATGTAGAAAACAACGTACAATATTTTATGCACATCAACTTTCACAAACTACGAAGACAAAACGGGCGTCGCTGTGGCTCTCCGTAACCCCTCCTGTGCCACAAGGACTATAGGATTTAACCTGAGTTAATTTTTCTTTAATTAAATCCCACATCTTTTTCTTCCAGAAAGAGTTCTGGCACATCTATTCCGGTACGATGGTTTGGGATGGTCTAACAGCTGCAAAAACACTGCTGCTGCTGCTGCAGCTCTTCGCATGAGCCAGACTGACACTGAATGTTTTTACAGACCCTAACCAGTGTGACTCCAACCCCTGTCAGAACGGCGGGAGTTGTGATGACCAGTTTCAGGATTACGTTTGCCGCTGTCCTGTTGAATATGAGGGCAAAAGCTGTGAGAAAGGTCAGCTCTGGGGTAGCTTCATGAAATCAAAATGCCATTATTAGTTCAAACACAAGGCACTGAGATAAACAGTAACAATCATTATCATTCTGCATCATTCTAGCTGTGACAGCTACTGGTCACACTGCCTGCGGTGTCGCATGGTGGATCTAACCAGCAGGCAGTCAGGCACTGCAAGGCAGCAAGATAGTTACTACCCTGTGATGACTTTGTAAAAGAAAATAATTGCCTTTTGTGCACCATCTGAGAGACAAGGAGGAAGTATTTTTCCTCCCCAAGTGCTTAGGTTACTTTGACTTAGAAATGTGAATGAGAACTGCGCTGCATATGCATTGTACAGAGCCCGAGGTGACACATCCAGCAGTTAATGACAGCGCATTGAGTGTTACACTCATAGAACATGCTTATCTACACTACATTCAGAACACACTGAGACCTAACTGTGACTAGGCACTCATTAAGGCTAACCAGACTGTCTCAAAGGTCATCCTAGAGCATCCTTCTGCCAAATGGCAAAATACAAAAAAATAAATAATTTTTCAGTTATATATTATGATGTTTATCACACAATTATGACACCTCCATCCTTTAAACAGCTCACATACTGCATAAATGTAGACTAATTCAATTTTAGGTATGTGTTTCTTATGCCTTCTCTAATATCTGGAGATCCAAGCCTGCTTAACTTTTGCCAAATGGAAGGTGTTTTTGATGCAGTCACTCTACATAAACCACAGAAATCTACTTTGCTGCCTTGCTTCCCTGTCAGCATTTCAAGTTGCAATTGATTCATGTTAAGCACCAAATCCACATTTGGAAACCTAAATGCTCTTTCTCTGACTTTAGCCACAGCTAACAAACTGAAATGCATTTATGACAATGGTGGCTGTGAACAGTACTGCACTGATGAGCGGTCTGAGAAACGAGTGTGCTTCTGTGCTGATGATTATACCATAGCGAGTGATGGTGTGTCCTGCATTCCCCAAGGTAAGATACTACCAGCCCGATCCTAAGCCTAAACCAACTCTGGAAGAAAAGTTTTCAACACACACAGATCAGGAGGTGCAAGGCATAAACCTCAGCCACCAGCTCCCTGCCTCCTCATCAAGAGCAAATTCCAGAGCAGCACATTTGGGCTTCTGGTGGAAGTTAGACACCCTGAAAAAGCAGCTGGCAAAGTGTGCACACTGCGCAGGGAGCCTTTTGGAGCTCTTCTTCCTGGCCCCAGAATTCTGTTCCTCTGGGAAGAGGGAAATTTGAGTTTGACCATCCCACTTGGTAGGAGTGAGGAGGGAGGTGAACCCCTGTCTCCTCCCTGGGGAGCACTCTCACCACTGGTCTAGTTAGAGAAGAACTGAGTGGTGGAGACAGGCTGATGGCCAGGTTGTCTAAATAAAGCAGAGCAGTAGGTCGCCAGGGATTTGGGGTCAGGCTGAGGGGAAGCTAGTGAGTGGACAGGCTCTGTGCCTCACAAGTCCTTTTTTGGTTTAGCTTACACATGGTGGGACAATATTTTTGGGGCAGCATTGTTTCACTGTTGGATCTCCAATCTGAAACGTGACTTTGGAATTTATTACCACATTTATTTCAGCACAGGAGTCAAGAAAGAAAGAGGCTTAATAAAACCAAAGAAAAACAGTTATTCTCTCTTTTTTTTTTTTTTTTTCTTTTCCTTTTCCTTTTTCGTATTTGGTTGGACTAATACCCTTTTAGTATTCTTCTGGACTCTATGGCTAGATATTTCTCTCACTCATCAGACAAGGTAAGTTTCAGCTGGGACCAGGGTAGCTCAAGTTAATTATTTTTCCAATACATAAGCTGGCACCTGACTCTGCTGCAGATGCCTACTTGAATTACTTTATTAGAGAGGAAAAAGTGACCCCTGGGCATACAAACATAATGGACAGAGCTGCAGGGAGCACAGGAAGCAATTCTGAGGGGGGATGCCCCCCTAAACACACCTCAATGGAGCATTCATGCAGAGAACTGATAATGACAACGTAGCTCTCAACAACAGCAATTTCATTAGAAAAAAATGTCTACTAATGTGCTTATCCCTTATTAACAGACTCTGCAGTATCACATGATGGGGAAGCTGCTTCTGTTAAAAGCTGAGAACAAAGAATTCCCCACAGGCTTTTCAGCATGTCTTCCCCTGCAAGGAAGATGTTGCTTCTTGTGGATCAAAATAACCATAGCACTGACAATATGTTGCAAGAAGACAAAACTGTAACTGCCAGGCTGCCAGTCCCTTTATTATCCTTCTGTCACCTCTCATAACGGCCCCTTCAACATCCAAACTGGTGTTGCCCTCCATATAGGGTTAGAGGGTATGGGTCTGTGTTGTGCCTATTCTGATCCTCGACCAGTGCCACCAAAGAGATAGTCCTGTTCCACAATACCTTGCCTGTACCCGTAAAAGCTTGATGCTGTCTTCATATAAGCCATGGATGCTGTGCCCTTGCTTCAAGTTGCTGAAAGTCAGTAGGTTCACTGAAAATTACATGTAGACTATAAATCTTGACAGAGTGACTTCTGCTCTCCCGCCTGCAGCCTATCTCATTGTGTTGACATACATCTTAAGCAGGTATATTGGTTGCAAACTCCTGTGGTAAGTGAATATATGTCAGTGAGAGTGTATGGGCCTGCACTCCACTTGTAAAAGCATTTCTGGCTGTTTGTAAACAAAAAGACTGCTTACCTGCTTTAAATTACTTCTGAGAACCCATGCTCCCAGACTAGAACCCAGTTTTTCAGCTAACATAACTTCACTAAAAACATTACACATTTTGCTGTGAATTCAGTGCTGTAAAACCACACTCGTTGCCCTTTATGTTTTGGGTTTTTTCTTTCTTTTTTTTTTTTTTTTCAGTGAAATACCCATGTGGAAAAATACCAGTGCTGGCAAAAAAAAATGCAACTGCACGAGGGAGAATAGTAGGTGGTTCAACCTGTCCTCCAGGTGAATGTCCATGGCAAGTGAGTCTTCAGAAATTTGTCATTGCCCTTTTTTTTTCTTTTTTTCCCTTAGGAAGCAACTATCTTAAATTCATTGTTTTAAATATTTTATGTTAAAAATCCATAGTAAGTGCCAGGTATGGATAACCAAATTCCCTCTTCATCCATAGCCAGCAGATCCACCCATTTCAATCACGCATCTTAGCCTGCTTTCATAGAAGTGGAGTGGCAATGTAACCTCTTCTATTTCTTGACCCCTTAGTCCTTAACCTTACTACCAGCAAGAATTTTAGCTGCAGCTTGTGCGGATATGCTCTTGGCCATAAACAGGCAGAATCCATACTACACAATGGTGAAAATGTCAGTGGGAAGATTTCCCCTCCTAAATTGTCCATGCAATCAGCACGGTATTCCCAAACACAGTTGCATAAAGTGACAGAAAGAAGCAACATGAAACCCAACTCTACTGAGATCCAGGTCAAGCACATTTGATGTTAAGACATGAACCTGCTTTATGTTGGCAGGCCCTGCTAATACAAAATCAGAAAGAGAAGTGTGGTGGTACCCTGCTTTCCCCAGAGTGGGTGGTCACTGCAGCTCACTGTTTGGAGTACACTCATCCTAAACAGCTTCGGGTAAGACTGGGTATGTATCTTCCCCTCCTTCTGTTACCAAGCCATGGTTGTGGTGGCAGCTTCGCATCCTGACAAAGCAGAGTAAAAGACAAAAGATGCAATCTTTGGTAGTATAAGGGAATTGTCCTTAAGAGGCATCAGACTAGAAATCCCCAATCCCCTCAGACTTCTGAGGAATCAAGGAGCTGCCTGGCATGACCTGCAAATGACTTTTCCAGGTGAATACTCAACAAAGGTCGATGAGAAAACTGAGCAAGAAAGTGGAGTTGCCAGGATAATCAGTCATGAAGGATACACGAATGGACAAATCAATAATGATATTGCTCTCCTACGCCTGGAAACACCTGTAAATCTCACTGACTATGTGGTGCCAATATGTTTGCCTGAAAAATGGTTTGCGGTGTATGAACTGTCCTCCATCAAGTTCTCCACAGTGAGTGGATGGGGACGCCTACTAGATGGTGGTGCCACCTCGTCTGTTTTGATGAGAGTTGATTTGCCACGTGTAAAGACACAAGAATGTGAAAAGGAGACCAATTTAAATATTACAGAGAATATGTTCTGTGCAGGAGACCTGACCGGTGCTAAAGACTCCTGCAAGGGAGACAGTGGTGGACCTCACGCTACAAAGTACAAGGATACTTGGTTTCTGACCGGAATTGTTAGCTGGGGAAAGGGCTGTGCTGTTGAAGGCAGCTATGGGGTTTACACAAGAGTATCCAGATACATCGACTGGTTAAAGAAGCACATGGATTAATGATGTCAATCCAGAGAATTTCCAGATCGGGTTATTGCCCCCCAGTCCCTCTGTGACATTTTCCTACTGAAGCATTCCTTCATCATCTTAGATATGTGATACATGTGATGATACCCACACCACTATTAATGATTTGAAATGAGCCTAATGCCTACTTGAATAATAACAACTTCCCTATCGGTATCATTTGTAAACTTGTGTGTCTTGTCAAGCAGCACAGAATGGCCATAACAAATCAGACTCAAAGTCCCTCTTGCTCTGCCTCCATATCTGCAGAGGGACAGAGGAGATGCTGAGAAAAGGACTGTCAGCAACACATCAAGCACACCATGATCCTTCCTCCAGCTACCCCCTCAGCTTCTGGTAATCAGTGATGTACAGACTTCCTGAGCCAGAATTTGCATTAGGTTGGCCAAGCATGAATGAACCTGTTGCCCACAAATGTGTGCAATCTCTTCTGAACACATTTCTACTTCTGCCTTTCACAACTTCCTATGCTGGTGGATCCTGTACATTACATGTAATGTGATGATGCAATAGCAGAAGAAACAGGAAAAAGTGTTTCTTTTAGCTTACATTAAAGTAGCTGTCTCCAAAAGTTGCAGTGGCAACAGGTATATTTGAGGTGAACAAACTGTAGGGAGTCTCCAAAACAAGAAAGCTGGGAAAAGGTTAATTCCACATTTACAAGTCTGTCATGAAAACTTGGTTTTAAGTCTTCTTGCACCAAGCATTATTGCAGCAAGGCTATTTATTAAGTGTAATATTTAATCCTGTATTTATGAGTGGTGAAAAATACCGCTCACTTAATCTTATCTTTACCTTGATGTTATGCTCATTGATACAGAAGAGGACAAATGAAAAGGAATGTTCGTTTCATTTGTTGTCCAATATGTGTAGTCCAATGTGTAGCCTCTATGCTGAGACCTAAAATCAGAATTAGATAATTGTCTTACCATCTGCAAAACACTGGCCAAAGACCATTCTCTAAAGCCTTAAGGCAAAAATGGTAAACCTGAAAACACCATCAACTATACCATTAAAAAATGTACCTTCTAATCTAACCATGAAAACAGCGAAAAAAGAGCTAAAACTGACCAGGAGATTAGAAAACAGTGTATCTTACACAAAACCTACACTTTGAACTCATTCACATCATGCTGAATATCAGCTCAATCACAAAAGCTTATAAGCAAGTGGGACACTTAGAATTGACCATACTCTATTATTAGGGGAAAACATTGACATTATATGGCACATATACCATTGAATACTGAACACGCTATAACCTGCTTTACTGACATAGAAGAATGGTGTACTCTTCATTTAAATAGTGATTTTAAATGAAGAATAAGTGCTTTTCCTAATTGCTGAATTCCAGAGGCCTCAGAAACAAGAGGTCTTACAGGATGAAAGCATATCCCAGAGGTTCTCATTACTCCTAAAAGGAGCCAGAAGAACATACTTCCAGGGAAGAAGGTGGCTAGGAGCAGCAAACAGCAAACAAAGCCTCATTTTCACCAAAACAGGGCACTCGGCATTGCAAAATCATCCCTCCAGACCCCTTGAGCTAGAACAGTTTGGGATATTCCATGCTTCATAGGCTGATTTATTGTCTGTCACTTTCCAGTGTAAATATTGACATTTATGAACAGATCATCATCTTGCAGAACAAGGGTACAATACTGAAAGAAAACAACCAGTGCTAACGGCTGCACAGAGTGACTTTTCAAAACAAAGCTGGGTTTTGGGCACGTTTTCAATAGAACGGCCTGTTTAAGCAAGCCAAGAAGACAAAGGAGACCCAATGGCAGGCTCTGGAAGCATCAAAAAGCGACCTGCAAAGACCTCACGAGACACAACTGAGGGAAAACCCCCAAAAACTTGGAGTCCAGCTCCTGGCGAACACCAGGCCAAGGTCACTCGGTATGGAAAGCCAGCAGGTTATGGGGCTGGGATGTGGGAAAAGTGGTGGGAGCTGCCAAGGGTGGCGGTGTTTTGGGGTAGGAGCCCGGCTTTGCCCCTGCTCAGCCTGGCGCCGAGTCCCACACCTGCATCAGCCGGTGCTCGCTTTTTAACATGAGGGTTCACTTCCCCTTTCCCACAAAGAAAAGGTACAATTAAAAAAGCCGGCTGCCTTGGGGTGTGAAAGAAAATAATTAAACAGAAAAGAAAAAGAAGAGTCTCATCATGAGGCCGCCCCCCCGGCTGAGAAATCCCGCGGCGGCTTTTCCCCCTTTCCCAGCG